ATGTAGACTAAGTTAACTGTCATATTAGCACTGTTAACCATTGTCCTTAATTGCACCATTTTATAAAGTACAATGACTAAATTGAACAAAATAAAAGTACAGTGACTAAACTAAATAATACACTATAGTATAGGGATCTTTTAGGTACTTTGACCCAAAATTTTAAAGAAAACCTAATTATAGCAAGCAAATAAAGTCAATGATCTAATAGAGTATGGCTAAATGTGGTGATACCACAATAATTGATAACTAAAAGTGGAATTTTCTCATATATAATTGCATATTGATTTATTGGTAAAAAATAAAAAATCAAATTTTTATATCTTGTGATAATTATATTCAAACATTTATATTTTGACGAATTAATACCAAATCTTTGTGTCTTGCGAAAATAATATCCAATTATTTTAATTAATACTAAAAATAATTCAACTCTTTTTTATTTATGTATTAGTTAGTGGTACACTATATTGTATAAATCTTTTAGCTTTTAATTTAAAATTTTTAGTTACGTGGTAGACGTAGATATATATTACGATGAATTCCTTTTTTGTCCTAGATTTATAAGTTGCAGTTCAGTTTTAGTCCTTTTTTTTATCAGAACCTCCTCTTTTGATCCTAATATGATTGTGACATAATCAATTTTGGTCTTTTATTAACAAAATCGTTGAAATTTCGTTAAATAGAAAGACATTTTGATCATTTAAATACAAAGTGCATTGACATGTTATATTTTTTATGTTTTTTTTTTTTTGAAAAAATTCATAATTGAAGATCGAAATGCCCTTTTATTTAACAAAATTTCACGATTTTTTTTGATTGAGGACCAAAATTGGTAATGTCATAATAATACTAGGACCAAAGGTAGATTTTCTGATTTAAAAAAAAAAAAAAAAAGACTAAAAGTGAACTGACACTTATAAATTTAGGACAAAAATGGAGTTAACTCTTTTAAAATAATGAATTTATGGGTTTCATTTTTTAAATACTTTGTACACCAACTCAATAAAAGTCAGGTTATGTTAGATTTTGAGTTAATACCCAAAATAGTCCATCGACTATGTCGTAATTACCAATTTGGTCCTCGACTATCATTCTTACCCAATTAAGTCCTCAACTATACAATTTTTTACCCAATTTAGTCATTTGTCAATTTGACTGTTTGTTGACTGCCAAAAGTGAAAATAAAGTTGTAATTTTACAAGTTTTCTCCTTCCTCCTCATTTAGCAGCGCCAAACCATGTAGCAATAAGCTCCGGTTGGGTTCTAAACCTGTCAGTATCGAAGTAGTGGTTATGCATCGGATAGCCCATGAATTGTATATTTGATGACTAAATTGGGTAAGAATGATAGTCGAGGACCAAATTGGGTAAGAATTTGAGGACTAGTTGGGTAAGAATTGTATAGTTGAGGACTAAATTGGGTAAGAATTGTATAGTTGAGGACTTAATTGAGTAAAAGTTACATAGTTGAAGACTTAATTGGGTAAGAATGGTAGTTGAGGACCAAATTGGTAATTATGACATAGTCGAAGGACCATTTTGGGTATTAACTCTTAGATTTTTGTTAAGTTGTATACTTAGTGTTGGGATTATGGGATGATCCATATCCTAAAGGCCAAATATTGGACCCAAGATGGAGAATGTTTCTGTCCAACCCAAAATGAAGCCCAAGCCGAAGACGAGCAATAGTTATGCCGTGCAACCGAATGTACCATGCGCATGGTGTATACGACGCAAAACGACGTCGTTTTGACTAAAAACGCGCGCCTCACTTTAAAAAAAAAAATTTAGGTTCGATTCTCGGCAATAGCATTATTGTGGATATATAGTTATGAATTTCTGGATATATAGTTATAAATTTGTGGATATATAGTTATGAATTTATGGATATTTAGTTCATTCATTGTGGATATTTAGTTCATTCATGGTAGATATTTACTTCATTCATTCACTGTGGATATATAGTTATGAATTTATGGATATATAGTTATGAATTTCTGGATATATAGTTATGAATTTATGGATATTTAGTTCATTCATTGTGGATATTTAGTTCATTCATGGTAGATATTTACTTCATTCATTCACTGTGGATATATAGTTATGAATTTATGGATATATAGTTATGAATTTATGGATATTTAGTTCATTCATTGTGGATATTTAGTTCATTCATTGTGGATATTTAGTTCATTCATTGTGAATTTTTACTTCATTCATTCATTCATTGTGGATTTTTACTTCATTCATTCATTCATTGTGGATTTTTACTTCATTCATTCACTGTGGATATATAGTTATAAATTTGTGGATATATAGTTATGAATTTCTGGATATATAAAAATGCTATTGCCGGGAATCGAACCTGATTTCATCTTTAAGTGGGACGCACGTTTTTTTAACCAAAACGGCGCCGTTTTGCAACCGTATGCACCTTGCAAGGTGCATTCGGTTGCACAGCATAATTTGCAAAAGAGGAGGAAACGACAAATTATTATGTGGACCAGGGTCCACCTTGCCCCAAGTGGACCCGAATCTAAAAAACACAATTTATATACTGAATATTCATAATTTACATACTGAATATTTACAATTTTATATACTAAATGTTTACAATTTACATACTACATGTTCACAATTCAAATTGTGACCATTCAATATGTAAATAGTGAATATTCAGTATGTAAATTGTGTATTTTGAACCCGGATCCACATTATCAGGTGGATCCGAGTCCATGACATAACTGTTGGGAAGAAACCGGGTACACATAGCCAAACCATGCTCTGGTAACGTAGCATGGGGTAGAAGCACAACTTAAAAAGTATTGGCAAGAAGAAGCATAGGCACTATTTGATTCTTCTTTCCTTTTGGTCGTCGAGGGAAAAGGGCAACAACCACTAAACATGTATAGATAGGTTAAGTGAGGACTAGTAGAGAGATCCAAAATTTTGCACTGTTATGCTACTAATTTAATCTTGGGAGACTTGTACAAATTTGGATTCTAATGGTCTCGGTTTGAACACAATTCAAGAAAAAAAGTGTAGGGGTGAATAGACTTTTTTAAGCTAGTTATATGCAAAAATCGAAAGAACTTAAAGAAATTTAGACTAAGTTAAACTTTCAACACTTCTCCAAAAGTTATGCTGAACACTTAACTAGATATATAGTATTAAAAATACTTTTGTTGAAAACAAAGGTTGCATAACAGAAATATGATTTTTCACTATATATTTTATAAGTTTAATTTGAAGTCTCTTGAACAACCTGATGATCGCCTATGTCACTTTTGAATACTTTGAATCTATAGATCATATTTGTTTGTGATATCTTTTTTGTCTCTTCTTTTGAGCATTCCATCTATCGTTAGTTGCATCTCGAATTTGCTCGTTGGAGCAAAAAAAAATTGGAATCTCACACTTGACAGTAAAATAATATGCCTGGATTTGAATAGCATCCAATAGCTTCTTGCCACTTGTTTTTAAAATCTAACTTTCAACAACTTTCAATACTCTTTCTTGAAAGGGCAAGCATCCACCTTGGATAATATGCCTATGCTCCAAATTAGAGGCAGTAAGGATCTAACATATAATAATATTGGTTGATCGAGATGTCATGTTGCTTATAGTCATTCTCTATTATAAGCTCTGCTACTTATTGAAAGTCTTATTTTTGCCTTGAAACATTATGATGTTACAAATTTTATTGTTGTAGAATTTGTGGTCTCAATACTATTGTTGTTGCAAGTTGTGTTGCGTTGACACAAACATCTACGTCACTTTATAGACTTGTGTTGCTTGAAAGTTTTGTTGTCTACAAACTCATGTTGTATATAAACCTATGTTGTTTGGGATTTTAGCTTCTATGTCATTTTCTAGTCTCTTTGTTGTCGGTAAAGCTACTTGGCAAACTTAGCTACCAACCTCTAATGTAGATGACTTCATCTTGACGTCATTACTAACGTCTTGGTGTGTTGAACTCCCTTTAGTTTAACATGGTCTATTGATATTCTTGACTTGAACCGACTAGTTATGAACAATGTAAACTGATTTATTTTCTAATTTATTCCGTGCATATCCTTAAATTGTGACTCCGGATTTCACTAATCACTCAAAAGGGAAAAACAAATGAAGTGTTGGGTTTTAATAAGAAGTATAGAGAGTGTAATCTCTATAAATTAATGGCAAATTATACTATGGACCATGGTCCACTTTACATTGTGAACCCTGATTCAAAAATGACATTTAGATTATGTAACTGCAATTAAAATATTATATACTTTTAGTTAACATATTATGTACATGTAAATAAAGTAATAAATTGAATGTACATAATATTTTATTTGTAATAGGTACATATAATTTATTAATTGAAGGTATATATTATGTTAAATGCAGGTATATAATACGTTAATTATAAAGAAAATGCTATTTACCCATCCTAAATTTCCCCAAATATTTTTTTTCATAATATGACTTATATTCATTGTGTGTCATGAATTGATTGACTCCACACACTTTTAATTAAATATTAAATAATCTAATTATATGCTGCCACATTAGGATGGAAAATTGGAAATGAAATTTTATGAGAGATACCTAGCATTACTCTATAAATATGTACATAATTTCACTGCTGGAAAACACGGTATTTCCGACCACCAAAAAGTGGTCGGAAACACATCTTCCGACCACTTTTCCAATCAAATTGGGTAGTCGGAAAACCCTCCGTCGCTAACTCCGACCACCGTGCTGGTGGTCGGAAATAGCGACCACTCACCCAAGTAGTCGGAAGCAAACGTCCACCAACAAGTTAGCTGGTCTAGCATTTCCGACCACATGGTGGTCGGAACATATGGTCGGAAATCCAGACATCCAGTGAAGTCTTATTTGATTTCCGACCATTTATGGTCGGAAATAATAAGTAAATTTTTTTTTATTTTTTTAAAATGTTCTTTCATACAAATTATACATTGGTTTGGCAATTTTAAAACAAGTAATAATTGCATAACAATACAATATCACTACAAAGATTTATACATTTCAATAGCAAATTTAATTAGACAATGTTTTCATTCTAATATCCACCTCAAAAAAACTAGTTTCCAATTCTAAAATACTACTTTATAAATCAAAATACATCCTACATTTATACGCACAAGTAGCATCACAAAAAAAAAAAAAAGTTAGAAACTTTGATCTATTCCTCTTGCAAAGAAAACCGCGTCATCATTCAATTCGAGGTCATCTACTACGAGAGGTTGGGACATCAGTCTTTTACTCTTTTGCTTTGAATTACGTTGCAACATTGTCTCACTGTTTTCAAAGGGGAAAGAAATAAAAAATTGTCTCATACAGATCATATCATATGTTTCCAATGCATAAAGAAAATGTAAATAACAAATTACCTAACTGGAGTGTACAAAGAAAGCTTAAGATTCCTCTTTGGCTAATTTATAACTACCTGTACATAAAAATGGTACTATATGAGTAGCATACACTGCACAAACAAATCTAAAATAGCATACATTGTACAAAGAAAGCTTAAGATTCCCCTTTGGCCAATTTATAACTACTTGTACATAAAAATGGTACCATATGAGTAGCATACACTGCACAAACAAATCTAAAATAGCATACACTGTACAAATTAAAGAAAGTTTAAGATTCCCCCATACTCTGCTCCAAGTTACTTATAGATTATGAATTCATTCTTGTTTTTCAAGTAATTATGAATTCCTACTCAGTTTTGTTGCAACAAACATGCAGAGCAGTATCAAGAATTCATAGTTTATCTTACATCTTTTCACAATTATTACTGCATTGATCCTAGCATTGTAAGATAAACTAAAAAGATACTTGGAGTAGGTAAAAAGATGTTGTATAGTGATTAACAATGGGAAACAGAGGCACCCATGCATATAGTCCACCACATGAAGTTCACTAGAAGCTCACTAAAGATTTGTAAAAAGTAATCATATAAATGTGAGTCAAAAGTTCAAAACTTGAAGTTCAAAGAAATACAAATACTTGTAAGTGTTGATATGTAAGCATTTTAAATCCATAGATAGAGGCATTAGCCATTAGGTAAGCACTTTAAATTCATAGATAGAGGTATTGGGTAATCCTCCGACCAGTTAAAAATACCTCATAGATAGCAGCTGCTCCTTTTTGAGTTCCATCCCCTCCAATTATATAGATCGACCTGAACCAATTAGACACAATTGAAGCTTCACCATTATGCTAGCTATGAAACCATTTCTAATTTAAACTATCAACCCAATAAAATTTTCAATTTACAAATAAATATTTCTTGTTAAGCATTAAGTTGACACCTTTCCCCATACCAAAAGCAAAGCAAATAAAGAGAAACTGTAAGTAGTATCAAGAATTCATATTCGCCATTCAAAAGCACAAAGTAAATAATATGAAAAGATGTACTAGGAACATTGCAAAGAAAATTGCAAATTTGTGTGTAGCAGTACTTCATGGATGTGATTGCAAAGAAAATTGCAAATTTGTCTTGACATGTGCCAATTATATTTTACCTTAAACTGACTAATTAGGAACAAAACTATATGTCCACTTGTAATCCTATGCTCTCCAACATATGACTCCAATTGAAAATCAAGAAAGTGGAACCTTCAACACAAAGATTGAAGAGTAAGTTGATTGGTTACATTTACTACCTCCAAGTGTATTATTTTTAGTCACCGTGAGTTTTAAAGTGCTCATACAACTATACAAGAGCTATATAAGTAAAACCATGAGAGCAGAATGCAGATGAGATTATACTTATCACAAGGGAAGACAACATCCTTAGCATACAACACCAAAAGAATATTCTGACTATTTAAACTACATCAGCTGACCAACATGTTTGTCATAATGTAGCAGATATTTTCTTTGTGCAACTCTAATGAATTTGCATATTGTTATCTGGTTAGAATCATAGTCAACATTCAGCAGCTATTTGAAAGATTAAGGATACAAAATTTTGATTCACCTAATTTATTAGTTTTGATTTCTTAAAGAGCTCTAACCTAACTACAATACTATCCTTAGAAATTATTATTATTATTTTTTACTACTCCCACATATACTGCGACACAAACAGTACAAGAATGCAGAATCATCATCAACATTACCATAAAGTACTATACTAAGTTTATCACAAGTTGAAAGGATTGGGAAAATTATGATCTGCTTGAGAAGGGAGGAATTACCTGAGAATGGACTACTAGAGGCGGCAGTCACAGAGCGACAGGGGCTGAGCGATTGGGAAGCTGAGAGAGGCAGAGACGGCGTGAGGCTGTCTCCCATCAATTATGTTCAACTCTGGGAAAAAAAAACCCCCTAATATCTACGAAAAAAGAATGACTGACCTACTATTGAAGCCCTCGCCGCTTGTGTCAAACCCGAAGCAAAAACTCACCGCCGCTGCTCTCGCCTCACAAATGGTCGTCGCCGGTGAGAACATCTGTAGAAAGAAAAAGGGTTGCAAAAAGAAAACTATAGATCTGAAAGAGTAGAAGAACAAGAATGGTAGGGGTGGGGGGTCATCCCTGGAGCGAGGAGAGGGAAACTTAAAAGCTTTTGTCTGAAATAAAACCCTAGTGGCGGAAACGATGAGAAGAACCGTGTGTTTAGCTTTTGTTTGAGAGGGAAACTTAAAAGCGTTTTTATTTGAGAGGGAGATAATTTTTTATTAGGTGGGTAAAGAGTGGGAAGTCAAAATTAAAGTCAATTATTTGTGTTTCTTTATTTGAGAGAGAGATAATTTTATTTGTGTTTTAGAATAGAGTTAACTATCAAAATGGTCTCTTGACTATAGCGAAATTATCAACATGGCAAGGTCATGGCAAGGTTGGGGCGAAATGATTGTTACTGTTCTTAACTCCAGTCGCCTGACACTGGACTCGGTTTAAGTCGGCGAAGATCGCGTCGACTGCTATCAAGGAGTGGGTTCGGATCCTACCGAAATACACTAATTATACAGATAGGGAATAATCTCCTTCAATGGGTGATTAGTATGGCTGTAAGCATTGAAAATTTAAATAATGCTATTTGGCCGTGATGAATATTTAATTATTAAATTAATTACATTAATTGGACTAATTGGACCAATATTTATTTAATTGGGTTAATTGAATGACCCATTGAATAATTAATTAGTCTAGTTACTTAATTAAATGTGATTGAATGTTGAATTGTTCGGCGCAAAATGGTGGAATGTTTAATTGATTTGGACAAGGCTGCTTGGATGAACTGGGTTGTTTAATTAACGGGTTTGACTTGGTTTTGGTCCACTAAAATTATATGTAAATTATATAATTTTGAAGAATTTGGATAATTTGATATTTGATGAAATGATGAACCTGGACACAATGGTGTACCGATACGTTCCTTAATTTAATTAAAATAATTAAATTAAATTAGGAATTAAGAGTTAGTTGGAGATTTTCCCGCACCCTAACCACTATAAATAGTGGTTTCATTTTCAAGAATGGGAGCGCTAGAAATCTGCATACCGGAAGTCCTTCTTTGAAGATCAAGTTGCATATTAGCCCTTCATTGAGGAACAAGCTACTAACTCCAGAGGCCCTTCAGCAAGGAACTACTTCCAGTTCGGCATACTCCCGAACTCAGCATACTTCCAGTTCGACACACTCCCAAACTCGGCATACTTCCAGTTCGGCACATTTCCGAATTCGACTTACCTCCAGTTCGGCATACTCCTGAACTTGGCATACTTCCAGTTCGGCACATTTCCGAACTCGGCTTACTTCCAGTTCGGCACACTCCTGAACTTGGCATACTTCCAGTTCAGCATACTCTGGACTCGACATACTTCTAACAAGGAACTACTTCAAGTTCAGCATACTCTGAACTCGGCACACTTTCAATTCGGCATATTCCGGATTCGGCACACTTCCAACAGGCATACTTCTAGTAGAGAATCAGATGACTTCTCATATACATATATTGTACCCCTCCCTGTTTGGTATATACTTGATACTACTTGTAACTGATACTTTGAATTTTGAATATATACAATTCAAGTTTTTCGCGTTTACAATGGCCACTGGCGTAAGAGACACCGTAGCAACGTTAGAGACGGTTCGCTCAGACGAAACAACGGGACAACCATCAGGCATGGACGCCATGAGAAAACCTAGACTACTGATACCATATGAATGTTTGTATTATGTGATAAAAATAATACGCACAGTACAATACACGATGATATACAATGCATTATGTAGGAATATGAAACTGAATAGAACTAACAAGAATAAAGGTCTTAAAGAGTTGAAGTTAGAAAATTATTTCATGTATCTATATGGAATGATTAGCATGGTTTTATTTTTCATTGCAAGAATGGTGAGTTGTATCTACTTGTAAACACTTTGCGTCGTGATCGGTTGAAATCGAAAAAAAAAAATATATAAGTGAAATAATCAATTATCAAAAAAAATCATGTGGCCTTCGTACCTTTGAACCACTTCAAAAAAAAAAAAAAAAAGGATTTCGAGTGGTCAAAAACAAGTTTAGTATATGAATTTAAACTTCCACAACATTTCCGACCACCATCCAAAAGTGGTCGGAATTTTCGACGAAAGGGTGGTTGCAAAGAAACTCTAATTCTAAAAACTGATTTTGGCAAAGCGGTTCCGACCACTATGTAACTCGTGATCGGAAATTCCGACCACTTATTAAAAGTGGTCGGAATATCGACCACTTTCCGACCATTACATCCTTCCGTCGGAAAAATGAAAAAAATCACTTTTGCGGCCAAATTTTTAGGTGGTCGGAAAATTGCGAAATTCCAGCAGTGTTTATTAACTGCAGGTACATAATATATTAATTGTAATGTGTAGGTAATTTATTAACTGAAACTAAATAATATGTTAATTGTAGATATATAATCTTGAGAAAATGACACTTTTCCTCCCGAGTTATATGCTTATAACACTTTTCTCTCCTGAGTTATTCATGTACCCACATTTTTCCCCTCAATTATGTTAAAAGTGGCGGTTTTCTCCCTTTTATGTTAGATGGACATTTTTACCCTTAAAAATAAGTATTTCATCTATTTTTCTTTTTCGACAAATTATTGCTTGTATGTATAGATGACCACGGTTCGGTTTGAACCTAACCGAACACTATAGCAACCGAATCAAAACAATAGGGACGGTTCTGGTTACGATTCAAATCCAAATAAAATAAAATAAAATAAAATAATTGTTGAATTTAGACTATTTTAACAATAAGAAATTGAATTTATAAAAATAAATAAATAAATTTCGATTTGAACCGCCAATTCAAAATTTATTTATTTATTAAATTCAATTTCTTATTTTTAAAATAGTCTAAATTCAAAAATTATTTTATTTTATTTTATTTTTTCCGATTCTTATTTTTAAAATAGTCTATATCATGAATCTTAGTCCATGGTATAACATTTGTCAATTAATAGGAGTATCAGTGAGAAATGAAAAGTTAAAAATTCAAGTTTATTTCTTAAATCAAATGCTAGACGTTATTTATATTTTAAAATAAATTATGTTAAATAGAGTTGTAAATTTTAGCCCAAAGCCCCAAAGTATTTACTATTTAGTACATTTTGAGTAGTTATGCTGTGCATCCGTATGCACCATGCATGGTGCATACGGATGCAAAAACGACGTCGTTTTATTAAAAACGCGCGTCTCTCCTTAAAAAAAAAATTCAGGTTCAATTCCTAGCAACAGCATTATGTTGTTCATTCATTATGGAATTTTAGTTCATAGATTATGGAATTTTAGTTCATAGATTATGGAATTATAGTTTACCGATTCTGGAATTATAGTTCATCGATTATGAAATTTTAGTTCATAGATTCTGAAATTTTAGTTCATTTATTCTGGAATTTTTAGTTCATAGATTAGATTCTGGAATTTTAGTTCATAGATTCTGGAATATAGTTCATCGATTCTGGAATTGTAGTTCATCGATTCTGGAATTGTAGTTCATCGATTCTGGAATTTTAGTTCATATGTTGTTGATGAGAATCGAACTTGAATTTTTTTAAGGGGAGACGCGCGTTTTTAATAAAACGACGTCGTTTTTGCATCCGTATGACATATGGATGCACATCATAATTTGCCGTACATTTTCTCTGATAGGCTATAGGCCCCAAATAGAAAGAAACAACTTTCTTATTAATCTGGGCCTCATGGGCTATGTCATATAACAAAGTCCATTGGGAAGACGAGAGTTTTCTATGTTTTCTTGAAAAGAATGAAGAAACAAAGTCAATTTTGTTAACATACCAAAATGTAAGTCTAGATATGTAATCAGTGGCGGCAAATTATGCTGTGCAAATATGTGCACCATGCATGGTGCACACATAATTGGATCCATAATTTATATATTATAAATTTATAATTTTTTTTTTTGAATGCTGCTAGCTCTATTGCATTGTAGTATCTGTTCATATACTTTCTCAACCTACTAAAACACAAAGAGCTAATAACACCTCCATTGAAGCTCAAACTCACAACCTTCCAAATGGAAGTCCAACCCGAGTACCATTGGACCACATAGTCCTAGTATAAATTTATAATTTCTATACTATAGATTCATAATTATTGAACTCTATATTAACAACATGTTTGGTTCATAAAATTAATTTTGTAGGAATAAAAATCATATTCTATATAAGATAAAATAGGCAAAGAATAGAATATAAATTCCATTTAGTTATTTTTTTGAAAACAAAATTCTATTTAATTATTTAGTTTGTGAAAGAAATAAATTTTAAGAATTGTATTTCAAAGTTTTGTTAATTAGTTTTTTCGTTTTTTTTTCTCAATCTGTTAGAGCACAAAGAGTCAACATCGTTTCTACTAAGACTCAATTTTATGACTTCTCATATGGAAGAGTCATTACATGCCATCTGAGCACAAGATGCTTAGCTTTGTTAATTAGTTTAAAGAATATAAGTGGAATAAACCTCCAAATGACATGCATACCCTTTACTCAGAATATATGTTTGTTTAATAATAATAATAATATAATAATAATAATAATAATAATAATAATAATAATAATAATAATGGAAAAACCTTAACTTGTTTAGGTTACTAATTTTTAGACGAACATTCGATGTGCTTGGATCAGGAATGTATATGAACCCAAGCTTTTTGAGTTCATTTTATTATTTGACTTGCACCCCTCTCGCTCCCCCCGAGAGATCCTTTATGATATACAATTTAAATTCCTTAAAAAATTGACTTGTACTATATATATACACTAGTGTAAACTTGCATCCCTTTCCTATGTGGAACAAAGACAACTTAAAAGCTTTTCACAACTCAAATGGTACACTTTGAAAATCAATTTCTCATTCACTCATTATCCATTTTGAGTGTATAATATATTAAATTAAACATCTCACTTAGGAGAATACGAATTCACTTTAACGTGACCCAAATTGGAAGTGGACCCACTGAAAATTATGCCACAAATGGCCACTTTAAATGCAAATTTAACTAATTTTTTTCAACAATTCCCCACATGAACGAAAATTAATATTTTGGGACTGAAAAAAACACAATAGTGTTCAATATACAATCCGTGCGCAAGATAGGTAGGTGTTCCCATTGAAACCCCCCATCTCTCCCTCCCACATAAAGATATATTTTTACTTTACTAGTTGTCAGGTAGAACGTAATGTCTATGAACCGTATTATCATTTCGTTAAATGACAATATATCTTACACAAGAACCTCCAAACCTTTGTTCAATTCTCATGGATGTGCCATTTTGGCCATGGAACACTTTGCTTGGTTATACGGGAGTTTATAATTAAAGAATTGAGCCCTTACAATTCTCATTTGAAGCAACCACACTTCTCTCTCACATAGGTGATTCTTTTTCCTAAGTATCCCTCATACTCCACTCATGTAAACCAACACTAAGAATCATTAAAGCATGCATACATGTTAACCTCGTGCGGGAGTCACTATTTCAATGAAGAGTGGATATGAATTCGAAACCCCCATATGGACCACACTTCATTCTATAATTTAATTGTCCCTTTTGAACCTATGTGCTAGCTAGGTTAGGTATTCACTATAGAAATTTTATTCTAAAGGCTTTAATATTATTCATCGTGACAACTTCGATCTCTATCAACTCTTTACTCAACCATTTAGTTAGCAGATCCGTTATATTATCATTTGACTTCACGTAGTCAATAGAGAACACGTAACCACTAGTGGGCTTAAGCTCCTTAATATTCAATGTCCAATTAGTGTTGCTATACCATTCGAATATATTTGGATATCTCATTTGTAGTCCAAAGTCACGAGTATACCTTAAGTATCTCATCACCCTTGCAATTGCCTTCCAGTCATCATCACCATGATTAGTAGTATATCTACTAAGTTTACAAACCGCACAGACAATCCGCCCTAGTACTACTCATTAGATATATCAAACTTTCAATAATTCTAGTGTATTCTACTTGAGAAATACACTCACTTCGAATTTTTGATAGCTGTACATTTATATTTAACGGTGTCCTAGCCAATTGATTATCATCTTTGTTAAAATTTTCAATGATTTTATCAATATAATGAGATTGACATAACATAAAACCATCTGGTCTTCTAACAATGAGTCTATCTTTTACGTATAAACATAGAATGACATAACCATCTATCGTATCTTATACGTAGACACACTTTTCACTTTCGTTTATCTTAAATTAAACCCACTGATCATCATTGAATGATTAAATTTTTGGTATCATTGCTTATGCGTTTGCTTTAAACCATACAATGGCTTAACCCATTGATTTAAACTATAAAACCATCATGTTGTTCCATATAGATTTCTTCATCTAACTTGTCATTTAAGAACGTTGTTTTCACACCCATTTAACAAACATCCAAGTTTCGAACCATTGTAATGGTAAGTATCATCCTAATGGAATTTATTCTCATAACGGATAATAAGTCTCGAAGTAATTAATCATGGACTCATGTTGCTTGTAATCTTTAATTACATGTCTAACCTTATATTTCCCAATGGAACCTTTCTGGATTCATCTTCTCTCTAAAGACCAATTTGGATCCCAACGATTTACAATCTGGAGAAGATCAACTAGCTTGTTCCCATGTACGATTCTGGAATCTAGAATCAACTTTACATTTTATAACCTATTCTCACATTGGTCATTCAATAAAAGTCACGACTTATACGTAAGTCTGAAGTTCATTTTCTAATCCACATGTCAAAAAACCTTATTATTTTTCTAATAAATAAACTAGAGTATTAGTCTTATACTCTAACAAATATGTTAGATAATTTAGACCAAATGATTTTCTCAATCCTACATCATTTGTTGAGTCTAGGTTCGAGCTTAGGTTCATTTTCAAACCCCCACTCTCATTATCCATAGCATCGTTGAATGTACATTTTGACAATCTAGATCCTTCGTTAGACCTACACGAAAATACATCTTTAAAGAATGATGCATTTCCCAATTCAATTAACGTGTTCTTATGTATGTCTGGATTATAGGACTCATGCGCTAAGAATTTATAAGTACTATTGTTACTTGCATAGCCAATAAAAATACAATCCACTGTTTTATGACCTGTTTTTTTTTTTTTTTTCTTTGTTGTTAGCATTGCAACTTTTGCTAGACACGTTCACACTTTCAAGTATTGATAGGAAGGTCTCTTACCTTCCCACGACTAGTAAGGAGTCTTACCGAATTTCTTGCAGGGTACCTCGTTTAAAATGTAATTACTTGATAGAATAGTTTCACCCAAAGGGTACCTCTTTTAAAAGCTAATTACTTGATAAAATAGTCTCGGCCGACATTTTCGGGACAAACTTGAACTTTTCAACATCACATTCCTCATCTCTTTCAATATGTGCATGATTTTTACGTTTAGCAACACTATTTGATTGAGGTGAATAAGGATACATATAGTCATGTATGATACCATTTTGTATGCATTAATCAGTAATTGAGTAATTAGTGTTTCATACTTACCACATTGATCACTTCTAACCGCCTAAATTAATTTTTCGATTAAGTTTGTTTTTTCACTTCATTCTTATAAAAGACTTAGAGAAAACTACTTTGTCTAACTCAAATACCATCCAAAAATCATGCTTGTTTAACAATGAACCAGAAACCAAGTTCATGCGTACTTCTGGCACATAAAACATGTTGTTCAAAATCAGCTCCTTCCCAAAGGTCATCTTTAGAACAAACTTACTTATGTCTCTAACTACAGACTGGGCAGAATTACCTAACCACACCTTCTCACCATTAATAGTCTTGAGGATGGTAAACAACTCACGTTTGGAACATATGTGCCAGATTGCACCGATGTTAATGAACCAATCGTTTTTTTTTTTTTGGACCAACAAAGTTTATCACGATCACCATGGCCAAGGGATTAATCTCTTCTTATATCTTGTGATTGCTTTCCACCACATTTTTCTTGAGAATTATTATTCTTCTTCTCAGGTGCCTTCCAACACTAGACTTCTGGCCCAATTTGCCAAAATTAAAATGCTTTTTTATGAAATTTCTTCTTGGAAACGTCACCTTTAGGACTAATATTTTGCTTATCATATCGTTCTTGGGGTTTTTGTCGTGCTCCACCACATTAGCCTTAGCACCACTAGAGATGGAAATTTTCCCATCACCTTTATAGTTTTTCTCTGCAATTCTGAGTCAAATGATCAACTACTCCAAATTCATATCCTTCCTCTTATATTTCTGGTAGTTCTTGAAGTTCTTCCACACCTAGAGCCAACAAGTGGATTATAGATACCAACCACTTAGGGTGCGTTTGGAAACCCAGAAAATGACTTCTGGAAAATGTTTTCTGAGTTTCCAGTGTTTGGCAAGAGGGGGGAAAATGATTCCTTAGTCAAAGGAAAATAGGTATGTTTTGGGGGAAAATGACTTCCCCTTTTTTTTTGGGGGAAGTCATTTTTCAAGGGATGCGCATGTAAAGTTTTTCGGGCCTAATTTTTTCTGAGCTTTTGCGAGTAGGCCCACTAAACCTGCAAGCTAGGTTTCATGCAACCATAGCCCGCTCCATGCGGGTTGACGGGCCTTATGGGCCGGTCCGCAGACTTTTTTAAAAAAAAATCAAAATTAAAAAAAATAAATAAAGTTTACAAATAATATTAATTTTTTCGTATTTAGAAATTTAAGCAAAAGTTAATTTTTTTTAAATGTTAATATATATATATATATATATATATAGAGGAGTGATCACATATGGCATATACATTAGGTGTGGCAGTGTGGTCAAATAAGAGCCGTCTGATCATTTCAATCCAACGGACAAGATTATAATTTTATGGCGCGCCTATTTATCTATAGCGTAGTAGAGAGGGGTAGATCTGTCATTTCATTCTATTCAAACACTGTGTGAAGCTTCCTTCTACAAGTCATATCGATTCATAATCCCAAAGCACAAGAGAACCGCTCCACTTCTCTCACTCTCTCGGCGACGACGTACTCTCCTTACTCCACGAAAGACGGCGAATAATGGTGAAAAAGGGCAAGGAACCGGCGCGCATGGGTATGAACTCACTGCATTCTGTAATATATACTCGAAATAGACCTTTTTGTGTGTTTTAATTGATGATCGGTGTATACTAAATAGGTAATTAGAGTATTTTCAGTGCCCTACATGCTTCCACTCGTCCATATCGTTTTTGTTCTGTGCATTGTCAATGGCATCGTGTAATATATTTCAATAAATACTGGTGTAATGGTGTATTTTTTCATTGTGCTTGTGTGTTGACTGTAGTGTACATTTCAATACCTACTGGTGTATTCTGACATACCTCAGTTGAGTATTGTAACCAACATTGTTGTGTGTTTTTCTTTGATATTGGTGTATTTTTTCGTTGTGCTTGTGTGTTGACTGTAGTGTACATTTCAATACCTACTGGTGTATTCTGACATACCTCAGTTGAGTATTGTAACCAACATTGTTGTGTGTTTTTCTTTGATATTGGTGTATTTTTTGATTGTGCTTGTGTGTTGACTGTAGTGTACATTTCAATACCTACTGGTGTATTCTGACCTACCTAAGTTGAGTATGGTAACTAACATTGTTGTGTGTTTTATTTTGATATTGGTGTATATTTCACTAAGTAATAGTGTATATTTCACTAAGTAATAGTGTATTCTGGACTACATCACTTGAATATAATAAAAAACATTGTTGTGTGTTTTAGTTTTATATTGGTGTATTATTTCTTGTGCTTGTGTTGTTGATTGTAGTGTATATTTCAATAAGTAATAGTGTATTTTGGACTGCATCACTTGAATAGAGTGAAAAACATTGTTGTGTGTTTTAGTTTGATATTGGTGTATTTTTCAACATTGAGCTTATATCATGCAGACACCAAGAGGAAAACATTAGAACTAGAAGATCCCCCGGCAGCAAAACAAATAAGGAGGCAACAAGCCCTTGACTTCATTGATAGAATCGAGGTTGAGCTGCAAAATGAAGATTCCGAGCAACAAAATCAAGATGAGTCCAGCTCAAATGATGAGGAAGATGTACTGGATGTTGAAGACAAAGAAGCTGGCCTGAAGATACGACCCCTTCCCACCCAATTAATGAACCCAATTGCAGACCTAACTGATCCCCAACGCAGAAGTGTAGAAGATATTGGACTAGGGAGACTTCTTGACCTGAATATTACCAATGTCCCAAGGAAGTTGGGGCTCTGGCTTGTTCAAAACTATGACGCTAGGAGCAACACGTTAAACCTGCCAACTGGTGAACGACTACCCATCACAGAACATGATGTTGCTGCCACAATGGGGCTGCCGATGGGAGGCATTGAAATTGTTAAAAGGGCATCCAAGGAAGTGTCTACACTATTGGCTGGCTGGAGAGCAATGTTTGGAAAGACTAACGGCCACATCACCCCCCATATTATGTCTGAGCATATGTTGAGACTAAATGCTACTGATCCTTGGTTCAAAAGGCAGTTTGCACTGCTTGTAATGAGTGTATTGGTTGAGCCCCAAGTCAATGGTTATGTCAACCAAAGCTACATTGATAACTTCCAAAATGTTGACAACATCAAGAATCTAAATTGGTGTAGAATGCTCATCAATTCGCTCATCACCAGCAAGCAGTCATGGCTGGACAGTGTTGATGGGAGATACGGAGGACCAATTATTTTCCTGATGGTAAATATACTACCAGCAAGATGCATCTAATTTATTACCCACCGATCAATTAATACTCTAAAATGCAAAATGCAGATATTCTATGTTGACCGTGTGGTGCTCTACCGGAGGACAGTCCCAAGAAGCTTCCCTGCCATGAAGAGCTGGACATTTAAGCTGCTCCGTCAACGAGAACAAGCAGAGATAAAATCTGGTGGCTTTGGATATGGCCGTCTTGAAGATGCCTTGCCATTGGACAGCACACCGTTCAAAGAAGGAAGTCCCCCCCCCCCATTGATACAATCTGATGTTCGACCCCAACCACTGGCTATTGAAAGTAATGCACCACTTCCCACTGCGTTACAGGTAAAACAGACCACTTGAGTCACATTCATGGTGTACTCCCTTATATCTCTTTTACTGTTTTTAAACCTATTGACTGTTGTGCATCTTACAATGCGGTACCTTAATCAGTTTGTGTGAATAAGATAATGTACTATAATGGTGTGCTTCTTAATAGTATTTAGTGCATATTTTGATATACATTGGTGTGTTTTATTATATCCTTGATGTGCATATGCAGGAGTTTGTTGATGAGATTACTAGCAACACAAGGACAATTGCAACAAGTTTGCTGAGAATATCCAGACTGATTGAAAATGCACCTGCTGCTGTTTTGGAACATCATACATTCAAGCAAGTTTTTGAGTCTTCTAGACAAATGCTAGGATTCAAAGCACAGGAAGATGGACAAATGACATTTACCCAAAGCGAAGACGCCTACTGGAGTGACCCTGAGTTTCTGAAAGCAGTTGATGAGATTGTACGTGCGGTGAACAAAAGGAACTTCCTAAATGATATACCCTCTTTCAGCTTGGGATTGTCACAGGATGAACCAAACAAAAGCTGGGCAGATGTGAGTGAAATTGCACATGACTACCAGGATGTTAACGAAGCTGATGAGCCTGCTGAAGTTCAGTTGGGTGTGGATGATGATCAAGCAGCAAACAGACACCAAGAATGCCCTGAGACAGCTCAACAAGAACCCCTCTCTGACCACCATAAACAGGCCTTGCATGAGACTCACGCAGCTGACACTAATACTGAGGTAATAAACTATAATAAATCCAACATTAACACACTATAAAACCTGATGCTCTCACCTTTAAATATTACAGGTCACACCAGAATGCCAAGGGCAGCCAGCCCCTGCATCGAGTCCACCCCCCCCCCCCCACCCCAACCAGCAGACAAGGGAAAATGCCCAGCTAGAGTGCACAGCCCAATTGCACGAAGACCGATCACATACGTGCTTGACATTGACACACCATTATCTGCAACAGAGGAAGCTATCAGGCAGTGGGTGTTGGAAAATCCTAATCCAAATCTGTAAGCACAACACATTCTAGAAACAATGGTGTGTTGTTTATAAATATTTGGTGCATTATATAATGATGTTGGTGTATAAATATCCTATGCACATTGATGTGCTATTCTATGTGATATTAGTGTATATTATGTTAACTATTGGTGTGTTTATACTAAATGATTAGTGACTGATTGTGTTTTATACCTAACATATTTCTTTTGTTTTCAATAGGACCCAAGAACTGTTCAAGTATGAAGGAAGGGTAATCCATTGGAAAGATATGCTGTCAATGAGGCCAGATTCACAGATCCCAGTCTCTATAATTGATGCTTGGGCAGCCATAATCAACATCCGTGAGTCAGAAAGAGGATGTACGAAGTTCATTGCTTCGTTATGGACAACAGTGAGTTGAACATATAAACCTAGCTTCAACTTTAACCAGCTTACAGTTCTAACAAAAATACCCTTACAATTTGCAGTTGTACACCGTTGTGGACCCACAGGGAGATGAGGACGTTAGATTTGCAAGATTCAAATCAAAGTACCTTGAAGACAAACTCATCGCTGGCGACGTTAGGTGGAACAACATTCTATACGTAAGATGTTAATATACATTTGATGCATCCTACTGTTTATCTATTTGTGGTGCATTACCAAGATTCGTACTAACCCCCGTAAAAAACATATCTTTTTTCTATAACAGTTTTTGTTTCCAATTGTATCATGCAACCACTACTACCTGCTTTCCATTTGCCCACTAATGGAAAGATTTGACATTTTTGACAACTCTTCTGTCACTGTGAAGAAAGAAAACAAGTATGGGACTGTGCTTGCAAATATGGTAACGCACTAAACCCTGTCTGATTACATATAATTACTGCACAACTACAACAAAAAATGCTCAGACTGTATTACTTGATGCAGCAAAAATTCTTGTCAAGGTTCTTGTCTGACCTGAAATCCTCATACAAGGCTGAGAAAGTGAACAAGGTGAAATCTAAGATAATGAAAATGCCTTGGAGAGATGCACACAACAAGGTAGATTGTGGGATCTTTCTCATGCGACATTTAGAGACTTTCCGAGGGCAGACATATGATCAGTGGCAGTGTGGACTTCAGAAGGACAACAAGGACCAGTTGAACAAGCTACGAGTTCGATACATGGCTGCCCTAATCATGTCAGACTTAAATGAACACAAACATAGAAACATTCAGCAGGCAGCAGAGTTCCGGCTTTGAGCATGACATTAATGTGGAAGAAAGACACTGTGAATATCTCTGACTTGACATGTTTTTTTGTGGTTTTTGATGACCAGCAGTTAATTTTTGTGATGCCAGACATCTAATCTGACAACTACATGTGCTCTTTTTGCGCTATAACAATGCACCATATGCTATAGTAAAACGCACCATGATATATTCTAACATGCACAAATATTTCTGTGTTATAAAACGTCTGCATACCTGTAAAATACACCAACCACACAAGTAAACACACACCATTGATATTTATTATAATCAATTTACATGATTCAGTATACACTATTCTGACTGTAATATACACTACATTCAAAACCATAATACATGGTTGAATATATATAAATATGCACCACTATATGACTGAAAACGCACCACTGTCTATTATAAAATGCACAATACCAACCACACTCCAAAAAATCTGATTCTGTGTTATGAATCATCTGCATACCTTTAAATACACCAATCACACATATAAAACACACCACAATCACACATGTAATTCAGAATACACTATAAAATACACCAAATTGTGTGTCAAAACGCACCGTTATGTATTGTAAAACGCACAATTCCACAATGTCTACAAAATCCGAATTCTTTGTGTTATAAAATGTCTACACAACTGTAAAAACATCAAATTCCACAATACAAACCAACTAAGAAAACAACACAAAACTCTAGCCATTTAATGGGCACGTCCTACTATTATGGCCATATTCATCACAAGTATGGCATTTCCTTGATTGCTTTACGCACTTATTCACAGCTTTCTCCCTTGCACTCTTCATCCGCTTCCCGCCGCCCTTGTTCTTAGCTTTAATTGGATCACGCACCTCCACTGTTGACCCCTGAGACACATCACCACAAAATGATTTAATCACACTTTCTTTGCTGCTACCAGCTACCCCATTGTTATCCTCACACCCATCTTTGATAAAAAACTCCCTTTGCTCACAAATAACACGTCTTAGTTTTTCCAACCGTTCTACATTACCATCAGCCAATCCCACGCAAGCATAAATTTCAGACCACATTAGATTAGTAAGCACCCTAACATTGTCCACTTTAGCCGATTGGTCAACAACCGTATCATCAATATCAAATATTGGCTTCAAACTAGCACCTTTTGTCCACCGAGACACCAAATACATAGAAGGAATTCTCTCAAGTCCATGATCTTTAAACACAAAAAAAATATGCCTACACACCAACCCCATCCGCTCAAACATCTTGCATGAACATATAGCACTACAGTCAGCCAACAAAAACTCCACAGACCATGCCTTCTTGTCACCATCTTTTATCCCATAGCACACCTTACC